AATATCTTTAAATATATTATAACCTGTCTGAATAACCACTAGAAGAAAAAATGAGAATTTAGTAATCTTTAAATTATATTAAGAATATCATGAGTTAGTGTTAGTCGTTGAAACCATTAATTAAAAGTATACGTGTTTTAATATTTTTATTTGAATTGGTTGATGAATCGTAGCGTAATATTTTGCTCTCTTCGCGTGGATGTATGAGGCTTTTAAGTAATACTTCAATGTACTGCTGATTACTGAAAGAATAACAAAAGTTCTACGACTTGTTTAAACTGTGAGGCCTATAAGTACCAACGTATTTGTTTTAGAAAAAATTGTACAGTAGTATAAGTGGAAAAAAGTTTCATATATATATATTTTTATCTATACACTTATTATTGCTATCTTGCTTCTTGTTATGTGGTTATTATTCGATACAAGTACAAACATATGCCACCAAATCAATATTGGTTAATTTAATTAAATATCCCCCTTGATGATTATATTTCAAACGCTCATGAAAACATCGAAAATAGTGCTTTTACAGAGATTGAATATGTTATATTAAAACGAATTAGGAGCCATATCACGTCGTTACAGTACATCTCGCTACTTCCACTTGTACTTTACTTGACGACCATGCATCTTAACAATAGTCCTAAAGCATAGTTTTCATCGCAAAAATATCCTTCATGATGCTGACATGTCTAAAGCATACCACTCCTCTATCCATGCTTTCGATAATCCATCCAGTGTACCAGGATGACGATTTTCTAGCGCCCGTTTCAACAGATTGATTGCAAAGAAACTCATCGATGTTGCATTTGACAACTTGACCAGTATGTCCTCGTATGAAATAACATGATTATCCGTTTCATTCTTCAGCAGCTTGAAGCATGTAATGGTTGAATGGGAGATATGACTGGAAGACTTATCTTGATGGATTCATACCCTGTTAGCCTTCTTGCTTATGTTGCATACTGTCGCATGGGTTGCGTGGATGGATTTGCCACAGACCTTTAAGTTCGTGAACTCTCATCTGTTACAAGACGCTGAAGTTTGTTTACCATAGCTGGGCTACGACTTCAACAGGTCTCTTTCTGAATGGTCCTGGGTGAGAAAGCTGATTCATATTCCTTTGTTTTCTAAAGCTCTTAAATACAAAGATATTCCCGTCTTAGTAATTTTAAATCCTCAGTTTAAACACATCTTTATGAACTGCAAGTATGAATATTTTGTGTTGGTAAAAGATGTTATGTACACTTCCCAAAAGTGATCAATCTTACAAAACGTCAAACAATATCAAATTGTAGTTGGATACGTGCTCTTTCACCGTAACTTCATAGCGCCCGTGGTTGTCACGTAACTTTCTGATTTGTATATTTGTAATTGTTTTAATATAATACGCTCAACCGTCTATATTCTTGTTTTTTTTTCTTAATTACTGGATTGCGAGAATAGCCATTGGGATGATCATTATGGCATTTTAAGCTTCCAACTATTTACTAAATCACAATATGAGAAAATTCTAAACGATTGGAAACTTAACTAAACGATCGAGAAATAATTCTGGGACAAAAATTCTGACAGACCTAAATTAAATACATATCCAATATAGTAGCTAATAAGAGTTTATGAAATCTCCCCCCCCCCTCCACATATACACACAAACAAATTATATCGGTGAGAACTACATGCCTGAATAGACTAGGAGTTTGGAAATGTGTATGTCTATATTAAGAGTTCATTATAATTTCCCAGAAAGGGGGCCAAAGGCCGCCTGGAGGGGTTACTTATTTTAACCACTCGAATCACTACACAGTGGTGTGGTGCCTGTAAGTCAGTCAGTAGACACGTAAAGGACGCTTAACATTACAATTTAGTAAAACGTGCGCATGTCATGAATCACGAGAAGAATTATGCACTCTTCAGGCTACAACACCGCATGACATATGAACTTCAAAAGCAAATATATATATATATATATTTGTTGCTCTTAATTTTGGTTTGATTTACTTTTGAAACAGAACACTTTCTGGGACCCTGCGGAAGTACAGCTAGTATTCCTTTTCACAGAATGATATCTACGGAGGAATTCTTCTTGAGAACACGTTATTGTGACCCCTCAAAAAATACAAAACACACTTTATGATACTGATGTCTACACAGGAGTTTTTATTGAAAACATTACGTTTAGAAAATTGGTTTATATGAGTTTAACATTTTTACGAAGCTGAAATATTAGAACACAACATGAATATTACAGCTAAACTATTATAGATCTTTTTTTATAAGGCCAAGATTTGAAAAATACATTCTATTTTATTAGTATATATATTTCTAGATACACATAATGACAAAATTAGATGGATTTTATTTTATATTCTGTATAAGTAGAACTTTCGTAAGCAAAGCTTAAGAAATTTAAATAAATTAGTCGAACTGTTTATCTTCTATTTCAAGGTCCGGCATGGCCAGGTGGTAAGGGCACTCTACTCGCAATCTGCGGGTCACATCAATCACGCTCGCCCTTTCAGCAGTGGGGGCGTTATAATGTGACGGTCAATCCCACTATTCGTTGGTAAAAAGAGTAGCCCAAGAGTTGGCGGTGGGTGGTGATGACTAGCTGCCTTCCCTCTAATATTACACTGCTAAATTAGGGACGGCTAGCGCAGATAGCCCTGGTGTAGCTTTACGCGAAATTCAAAACAACCAACCAACCATTCTATTTCAACCACCACACTGTGGCAATCTTGTTTTATAAAACCATGTCACTTGTATGTGTTATGTGTTGTTCAAACCCTGTATGACGACGTTATTTTTCTCTGCGACTCTAATTATAGGCACAGTGACTGATATTTATGAAAGAAACCAAAAACTGTGCTAGCTATAATTTGTTGTTGTTAGAGTACATGAAGAGTTTATAAATATTAACAAACTAAAATGTTTAAAACATTGATATATTAATTAAACATTCCTTTTTTAGAGTTTTTAGACTAGCTTGAATTATGAAATTAGCAAATATTACTGGTTCTCCAAATGATTATAACGTAATAAGAGAGAGAGGATTAAGATTACTTTGTTAATCAACATAGTTTATAGAACACTTAGCTTTTAATGAATACTAGCTGACGAACACGTTCAAAGCACGGAGAGCACATAGGGCCCACTACAGGATGATAGGAGGGATCGGATACGAATGCCACTCCATTATATCACTTCGTGTCGAAGGGTCCGTATCAGGTTTGTTGGCAATTGGTTCAGCGGTTCGTCACCAGTTATAAGTGAGCACAATGCATGAGAAAGACGTATGGTCCTCAGGGGTGTCATGGTGGCTGGTCTAAACTCCGAGTCCCCATGTAGAGTGTCTTGGAGGAAGCTAAAATTACATGCCAGGTTTGGTGACAATCGGTCCAGCTGGTCTCCAGTTATTAGCGAACACACACACACAGAATTTTGTCAAATAATCGTTTAGATATAGTTTCAACAGAGCTTTGGAGATAAATATAGATACATTTATAGTATTTCGATACACCAGTATACCATTGCATTAATATGTTATTTCAAGCTTCTTTTTGGTATGAGCATATCCACACTCACCCGCCCTTTTGGTTGCTACAGGTGTATCTAAAACTAAGAAAGGCTTTCATGTATTAGTCAAATTTTCAGTAAATGCATACATAGTAAAAAATTAATGTATTTCTAACTAGTTATGGTTGATATTTTTAAAGCATTCTTTAGCATGCAAAGCATATTAACAATATATAATATTTTGTATAAGTAGAACATTCGTAAGCAAAACTTAAGAAAATTAAATAAATTTGTCAAATTGTCTATCCTTTAAATAATTTTCTATTTCAACTAAGCATTAGGGAAAGGAATCCAAAGAAGTTTTACAGAACCTTTGGCAATATATATATATATAATAAAGCTTTTATCGTCTATTTTGTATAACTCTTCTTAACCTTTGCTCTTTTAAAGTTTGTCAATAGTTACATGTTGTTATTTTTTTTTAAAGTTATGATCTAATATTTATCAACAAGCAATCTTTGACCCATCTTAAATCCGAAAGCCTAAGATTGAGGTACATTGATGTGTAGGACATAGTCCTGAGATTATTTTGCCGTAATGTATTTTTATCCGAAGAGATGTTTCTGTCCTACCAAAGTGGACCACCCGTATGCTATGGTCATCCTATTTCGCCATTATATTAATTGTCTTCTATCCTCTTATCTTTGTAATATTTTTGCACATCCTTCAGGAATCGTTCTTCTTCACCGCATCGTCGAGATCCGCACCATGCCGAATCGTCTTCGCTCTCTTACTCATTTGAGGGTAACTCGTCGAATACATCCGCTAGCTTACCGCTCCTGTACGTAGACGTCCTTCTCTTTGTGCACTTGACAGCACCTCTTCCGTTGAAGCTTCTCTTACCTCTTTTACGGCTAACTTTTTGAGCAACATTGTGCCATTGTAATCGCATTCACACCTGTTACACTTGTAACACCTTGGACATTTCTCCACTTTACATTTGCAGTTAGCTTAGAACCCGATCTCTTTTCTATCTCGCCAAGAGCAAACACTCGGAGATTCTGGATCGTTATCTCAGTAGTTCCTCAAAGGTTTCACAAAAAGTTCGAGAATGGTGAGTGTTCCATAGATAATGTACTACAACAATGCCATGATCATTATCTGAATTAGGATAAAAAAATACCCAACTTTATTAACGAAAAAACAATCATAACGTTTTTGGATGTTATCCAGCTATAGTTTGGTATACACCTCTGGATTTCTCATAACATATTGCTTATTCTTATAGATTTTCCGAAAGAAAGTCTTAATGCCGGATATGGTCCTTACAAAGTGCCCTACCATTTGTGCTGTCGTTGATTCAAAGGCTGCTTGTTAATTAAGAAAAAATATACCTTAGTGTATTCACGAGCTATTTGTGAATTGTGATAAGGTGTATGTTTTAAAACACTCATTAAAGTTAGATTTTTATTTCTATTTTATAGTTGACAATGATCTCCACACGTCCCAGAAAACTCTCAAGTGGAAGATTTTTATGACAGTATTTCCGTGTTCCTGTGGTCGCCCCAAGGATGCCACATACTGTCAAGTCGGGATTTTTTCATTGGAATAAGAAACCGGATCTTCAGTATGACGTCCAAATGGCGTTGCACACTATCCTCTTTTGTATCCTCTTCTCCGCCCAACAACATGATGGTTCTATAGGCGGTGTGGCTGCCGCCTACGAAAACTCCAAAATTTTCAAAATCGGTGCAGTGCTTAGTTCTATGGAAAACACTGCTTACTTTTTTCAACTAATTGAAGATGTCAATCATGAACCGAACATGTTGCCACCAGGTGTCATCCTCTATGCGGCAATTGTACCCATGAATCCAAACCCTATCCGAACAGCCCAGAAAGTATGCGAAGATTTGATATCTGCGACGGTAGGTTATAATTATTGTTATAAAATGCCTTGTTTGTGGTCGTATAAATGTTTCCAAAACTTAGGATTATCACGAGTTTCTAATTTTTAAAACAGGATTTAAAACTAATAAGTTAAAAGGTAAACCTGAACCCAACTACAATATGTCAGCCGCTGACCAATGTCACGTCCTGAGATTTATAAATTTATTTAAGTGTTTAATGACCAGATGTTTGAAAATGGTGCCAATATGACGTGTTTAGCAATAGACGGAATTTAATAAGTTTGTTTATTTGCTTCGAATATTCGCACAAAGCTACACAAGGGTTATTTGCACTAACTATAATTTTGAGCTAATAAACTAGAGGGAAGACAAATAGTCAAAACCGCCATCTTTCGGTTTGTTCTAATCGAATAATGAGATTTGACTGTTTCTCTTATAGAGCACCCAAAAACACAAAGATCGGATTGCAATTTTGCAGCAACTGGATGCGAAACGTAGATTATGCGATCCACAATCCGGTAGGCTAGAGTATGTTTTAAACGTTACACTTTTATGTTTGTTATGCGTTTCTATCACAGTCTGTTAATGATGATCATTAGCGATTACTTAATGTTTTCTTTTCAGTCGAACGTTTTCATTGAGTTATTACAATAAAAGGAAGATCTGGGGTACAGTTAAACATAATAATTATTATTCCTAATATTTTGAACTAATCAGTGCAGTGTTATGTATAACATATTTTATTTCACTTTAAAAAGTTAATAACTGGAGTTTGTAAAATGAAATTTTCTGGCAGCAGGTGAGGAGATCCGCATAATTAAGAGCCAGATAATATGTGGCTTTATTAGCCAAGACAATTGTAACTTAAGAGCAAAATAAAATACAGCTAAAGAAAGAAGTTCCTTAACTTTATGGCAGAATACTATAATCCTTCACATTTAAACGACTGGATATAATACATATTTAAGTATTGCAGTGTCTGTAGAAATCGACAACAAATCAAATAAATAAATATAAAGTAGGAGAGGGAGAGAAAAGTAACAGTTTCATCTAAGCTCTGCATATAATAACAATCACATTTATATCATCAATAACTTCTGATCAAAATAAGCTACCTACATAGCTATCTGATCTATATAGATCGCTTTCTTGCACCAAAGAGTTCAGATCACTTAGAGATATTGCGTGGTGTAAGCATTTACCAAAACAGAAATCTGGCGGTTTTTCGAAAAGGGAAAGGCAGCAAGAGGAAAATATGTTCGCGTATCATTTACGTTCTAGAGCAACCTTAGGCTCCCACCCCACCGATTATTACGAGTGTGCCCCCTCTAGTATCACATCAGTGTTAATCAAGAAAGTTTCTACAGCTGAAGCTGAAGCCCTTCCCAAGGACTTATTGTTTGAAGTAGTTAGTAAGTAACAAAAACAGACACACTTCAAATCATATAATGTGTCACATTTGCCTTTGCAACTGAAAACAAACACACATAAACACACATGGCCAGGTGGTTAGGGCACTCGCCTCGCAATCTGAGGGGCGCGGGTTCGAATCTCCGTCCCACGAAACATGCTCGCCCTTTCAGCCGTGGGGGCGTTATAATGTGAGGTCAATCTCACTATTGGTAAAAAAGTAGCTCAAGAGTTGGCGGTGGGTGATGATGACTAGTTGCTTCCCTGTAGTCTTACACTGCTAACTTAGAGACGGCTAGCGCAGAATTCAAAATAAACCAAAGCAGTCAGAATTTCTTAACATTTCCAAATTTAGTATAAATCAAGAGAGCACACATACATACAGTCATGGTTTAAAGCCTTGTAAATTAATTAACCTTCATCCTCCTTTAACTGATACATTTATAAGATATATTATTCCTATTATCATAGGAGAGAAGAATTGATGACCGAATTTGTGTTACAATTGGGGAACAATTAAGTATGGGAAGGAAACATTCTTTCACCTGAGATTAAACTCTGAAACGTTCCCTCAATAAAGACAATACCACAACAGTTTTCATTTATTTTAATTAAAGGAGAGACTTTTAAGCAAGATCTAAGTATAAGTCTTATACACTTATATTCATATTTTAGGCGATTCAGTAGCACACAGATAAGAAATAGTAAGGTATACGCTAGTTTTTTACAGTGTTTTATAAAACGGAATTACCACATATAGTGGTAGAAATAGAATATATACCAGTAGTAAAATATTTTACTTTATTTTCATCTAATGGAGCAGAAATACGGTGAAAGATACTTTATTACATTGCAGTGTTATAATACTTTTGTCTCTCAGGTTTTCAGAGAATATTACCAAGATACGGGATTTGAATCCATTTCAGGAAGTCTATAGGTAACACACTTAGGAATCTATTGTGTGAGTCGTTTCACTGTTTTAAATTCAAGTCAGCATCACACTATATAGTATAGTCTTTACACGATTTTCGTTGCTTCAAATTGTCATGCTTCCACAATTTTCTTAATTTCAGTTCTTGTTTAATATGGTTTCCTGTGATTTTCTGTAAAATGAGCCGCCTGTGTCCTAGCGATTAGAAGTGTGGATCCGAGGGCTCCTAGTTTACACCACACTGCAGCAAAAACGCGTTCTCCACTTTGGGGTCGTCGGTGCACTATAATAACAGTCTTATCCTACTTCTCATTCAGACAAGAGTAACCTAAAAGTTGATCGCGGGTGCTGTTGACTAGCTGCATTCCTTCTTGTTTATTAGGTCAAAATCGGGGGAGGGGTGGCTATAAACAAAAGCCCTTGTTTGGCTTCACACGAAAATTCTAAAACAAGCAAAACAAAGTCAATGTAAATACATTGGTTCAAAATATTTTAAAGTTTAAGTACTCTGATTTAATTCTGGTTGCTCAGAGATATTAAATGTAATTTTTAGCAGACGATTTACTTAGCTCCTTCTAGTTCTGCATGATTAACTTAATTACACTAATTTATAGCCACCACTTGTTCTAAGGCGCTACAAACCTAGGAATAAATTTAGTCAGAGCGTGCAGAAGAGAGTATAGTGTGAAAAGTTTTATCAAATTTTTAATAACAGGAACAAATCCTTGGGAAACGTATAACTTCCGTTCTTACAGTCGATGTTGGCTATTTCTCCACTTTCCAGTTTTTCTCAGAGCTTGTTTGTTTGTTAAGCACAAAGCTACACAAAGGGCTATCTGTGCTCTGCCCACCACGGGTATCAAAACCCGATTTATAGCGTTGTAAGTCCACAGACATACCGCTGTGCCATTGGGGGGCTTTTCAGAGCTTATCCCATCGTTACTAACAAATTAACAAAGTAAATGTATTTCCATTTTCATTAAAGCCAGTTGCATGCTTTTTCTAGCAACTGTAACTCGTGAATGAATGATTCAAAACATTGGAAAGGGTCTTACCTAACGTTTGAGCACCATCAAAATAAGCCCTCATTGCAAGTTCCATTAGTCACTGACAATTCGCAGGTGAATCACAGATCCCAAATCATGTTATCTTGAATTACTGAAGTTCCGTAAATCAGATTGTAAGTTTTGAGCAACTTTTGTAATCAGTTTCTACTTGTCACAACGAAGCTTTAATAGGCTGGGTTATGTTAATATAAATCATTATGAATGACAATTAGTTTTATTCTGATCAGGTCACTTTTATCGAAAAAGGTTACTGCTTTAATTGTGATAGAAAATTGAAACAAAGGTTATTAAAATGAACTTTACGAATATGTGAGTAAAAAATGCCCCCAATGGTTCAGTGGTAAATTTGAAGGATTATAACACTTAAAACTGGGTTTTATTAACCGTGGTGAGCACAGCACATATAGACGATTGTGTAGCTTTGTGTTTAATAACAAACAAAGAAGTGTAAAAAGTGTAACAATGTATATATTATTGGCCTCAAAAAGCTTATAATACATTTCAAATGTATTAAACAACTCAATAATTTAACAGGAAGATATTACCATCATAAATTTAAATGATTTAGATAATTGCATTTAACAGCGTGATATCGAGAATCCAGCACAGGACAATAAATTCACAAAAAAACAGAAAAATCATATATGTTTAAAATGAACGTCAAGAGTCAATGTAAATTAAGTGGCTAAGTTAAAGAAGTCATTCAACAAGAATATTTTAATACAAGTTACTTTTATATGAGAATGTAACATATAATTAAATCTAACTTGATCAATAATCATAATGACTTATCAGTTTATATATTGTGTTATGTCAATTATACTATGATGGTTAGGGTACTCGACTTGCCATCTGTGGGTCGCAGGTTCGAAACTCACCACCAAACATGATCGCCCTTTCAGCCGTGGGGAGTTATAATGTGACAGTTACTCCCCCTATTCGTTGGCAAAGAGTAGTCCAAGAGTTGGCAGTGGGTAGTGTTGACTAAATACCTTCCCTCTAGTTTATCACTTCTAAATTAAGAACGGCTGGTACAGATAGCCCTCAAGTAGCTGTGTGCGACATTTAACAAACAAAACAAACGTAATTTTTCTAGGTTGTTGACTGTTTGAAACAAGATCTCCAATGTTAACAAAATATCTTAAAAGAGGGGTCTAAGAATGGTTTTTAAAATTCGAATATAAAATAATTATTTTCGGTACCGAAGGATGATTTTGAACACTGTACAAGAAGACACTTTTTCACTGGTGTTTCTTTTAAGATGACTTAACATTTTAACAATTTGGGAAATTTGAATTTTCAATCAGAGATGTTTTTACCATTTAAGGTCTTTTGAGAGAAAACAGCACAAAGAACAACGTCTATAAGGCTTAAAACTCAAAGTCTGAATCAAATCAAATCTTTACTATACCTGGGAATTTTGACTTCAAACGTACATTTTTGTGAGTTTGTGAGCAACTTTTATACTAAAAGCGCCACCTTTGTTATAAAGCACACAGAGGAATGGTTCCCTTCTGTTAATATGATAATTTAATGCTAGTTTTCGGCTATAATGAGATAAAATAAAAGCTTACGAATCGCTGATATTAATGATAATAAATACGTCATCA